GAGAGCGGCGGCTTGGACGTGGTTGTCGATGGTGGGGAGAAAGAGGAGAAGTGGTTTTGATGAGTTTAGGAGGGGGCGGCGATTGCGGACGGAGGAGAAGAAGAAATGGTTGTAGAGATGGGATTGAGGTGTGAAGTAGAGGTTGGGTGGAACAGAGTGGTTGCGGAGGCATTCAACGTACTTGCACTCATCGGGATTTGGGGACTCACCGACGTTAATGGCGTGGGAAGAAGGTAGAAGGAAGAGGAGATTAATGAGTAGGGGGATGAGGTGGTCTTTAATCCCCATTGTTGTTAATGTTTTATGGGTTTGGGGTTCATGAATTCCCAGAGGGTTTAAATGGAAGGGAACGTTGACTATTTGTTAAAATTGATAAGTTATGTACTATAGTTTATTTATAGTTTGATGAATTTTTAAGTTATCAATAAATTTAAATATTATTGATGAGTGTTAGAAGATTCTCAGTGTAGAGTAATAGATTTTTCGTGTTAGCATACGAGAATTCAACACACATTCAGTTGAATAATAACGACCATTAATGACACCAGAAATTCTTACATAAAAAAATTAGTTAAGTAAAAAAAAATCATGCGGCCTAACATAGTTTTAAAAATTCACTATAGGTTGATAATTATAGAGACATATTGTCCATAGACGGGAAAATGTTACTAGGTTTTTCAAGTTGAAACGTAGATTGACGACGTCCTGTCGGTGGTGGCTGACGGTGACTGGTGGTGATTGACGACTGGCAGCATTGGTCGACGGCTATCGGTGGGTCTCAATGACAACCGACAAAGGTCGACAGTTGTAGGCGATGGTTGATGCCGACTGATGATAGTTAATGGTTATCGGCAGCGGTCGAAGGAGGCCGACGGTAGTCGATGATGTCATAAGTAGTGTTGGACTTCGGCTTCTTCTCAAACATTCAAGTTTTCTCTCAAGCCTCAAGCTCTCTCATCATGAGAGCAGTGGGACACTATTTATAATATTCTGGGTGTAATTAATGCAGAAAGATGAACCATTTTGATCGGGCGGCCTAGATGGACATTTGTGTGCCTAAACGATGTTGTAACTGAGCAATCTTGGGCTCGTTGGACTCCACCTGTCGAGACGTTTGATTCAACTATAGACTTGTTAAATTCGACATTCATTAACCTTCTAATTATATCCTAAAATATTCCAATAGTGGTTTAATAACTCCATCTAAGCTACATTCGACATTAGTTTAACCTTCTAACAATAAAAATTGCATGTACATTTCAATTGAGACAGTTACATGCACGACACCTCAAGCAATGCTATGTACAAATCAAACACCCTATTTCATTCATTTTTCAATTTCACACTAAAAAATCTGTGGAGATAATAATATAGGGTCATCCCATATTCAACATTTCATCTGATTGTATACAGGGCTCCCGAAACATTGTTATCTACAAATCAAGACTCTTTCATTTATTCTCCAAATTCTCACTCTAAAAATTACTGGAGATTAAAAACATCCTCCCACAATTTTCATTTTTCTTTGCAAAATTCAAATCGCAAATCACAAATGAGAAATCAGAAAGTCACAAATTACAAATATCACAAACTTCTCATAACGAAAAAGCCAAAAATCACAAAGAGAAAGTCATTCCATAAAAAATGAGCACATGGATTACATATATAGCACAATAACCAAAGATCAGAGGAAAGACAGACAAGAAAGACAACCACCAAAGAGAGGAGAGAGAGAGAGAGAGAGAGAGCGAGAGAGAGAGAGAGAGAGAGAGAGAGAGAGAGAGAGAGAGAGAGAGAGAGAGAGAGAGAGAGAGAGAGAGAGAGAGAGAGAGGTACTGAGGGTTCGCGAGAGCGATCAAGAGAGGCAGAGTTGTTCCTAAGGCAGAAGAGACGCGAGAGAGCGATCCACGGGTTTAACAGGAGCAGCGGGGTAATATATACACGAAGAAATGTGGGTCGCTGGGTCGAACCCACAATTTTGTTTAAAGCAAATTAATGAACTATTAGGATAAGCTGCAATGCTGCAACAACCAAATACCTCACCAGTTGTTTTCAAAACGCACAACATCGAATAAGCTGGCCCAAACAGGTCCTTAGTCATACATTTATTATGATATTGTCTCTTTGTGGGCTTAGGTTAATGTTATATTTGCTACATTCGATAAACAATCACGGAGGGCATATGAGTTTTAATTTTAGCCTTTAAAGGGTACATTTTGTTTCAATATTTTATATTTTTAATTTAATATTTTCAAGTCTTTTTAATTTTAGGATAAACTCATTTCGTTGAAATTTACATTCAACAAGATAATAATTAGGAAATTGATTGGAATGCTTATCTTATAGTTTAATTAGGTTTTGATGATTTAAATATTCAAAAAATAGTTGATCACGTGAAATCCAGTCTAAGTTAAGAGGAGGATCGAACTAGCTAAGTGGGAGCTTGGTCTTTTCAACTCCGGTCATTATAAGGAGGAAGTTTGGATTGACCAATGGTGTCTTACTTATGATCTTGCCCTACAGACAATATGACTTCTTGAGAAAGTGGATACTTCTAATATGTTTCAGTTTTAAATTAAAAAAATGAGATTTTCTTAAAACTTTTAAAAATATGGATGTTTCTTGAGACATATTTGATTACAACATAATATAGAATTAGACCGTACAACATTCTCCAATGGATTATTCATAACATTAAAAGCATCAATCAAAATTATGCGAACCCCGCCAAGAAGTTCAATAATACAAAAATGCATTTATAATTAGGAAAAACCTAAATAATGAAAAATGATAATTTCTATAGCACTTATAAGATTTTCGAATTAAATTTTCTTTTTTAAATAAAAATCACTAGAGAAACCAGGTCGCATTTGGCTGTTTCAATTTAAAAAAAATCATTAGTTTAAATTAAATGTTATTGTTATCTTTGACCTTTTTTTTATTTTTAATTTTAAAAGGTGAAATGATTATTTGGTCTAGTGGGCACCAAATATCGTTCCCCCCCAAAGAATTGAAAACCCTGGTATGCCCGCTCCTGACTCAAGAGCTCGCACCACGGGATTCGAACCCTCGACCCGAGGGACTTACGCCAGAGGCCGCACCAATGAGCCAGGCGATATTATTTGTGAAAATTTAAATCTATTTTAAAATCTAAATAATTACAATCGAGTAGTTATTTTAACAAATCTATTTTCTTAAAGCTAATTTTTAATTCCAAGCAACAGAATAAGATCTGAGCATGAAAACCCAAAATCATAATCAACAAAATTGTTAAAATTAATAAAACCTTTAATAAAAATAAAACTGATCCTAAATTCGAGTTTTATAAATGATTATTTTATCATCAAGTCCCTGCATGTAAGCTATAATATTCCCTCTTAATTAGTTTTAAAAAATAAATAATTACATTCATAGCAACCAACCATTACTATTTACCAAAATAGTGCTCTCTTTGATCAATTTTCAGATTCTAACTCAAATATCCAAATTCTCAAAAAAATAACCCCATATTTTTCAGTTTTAGAAAATTGACAATGACTTGATTCACATGTACAAATGCATCTATTTCATAATTCATATATATATATAGTGTGCAACCTTGGCCTGTTGGAAAGCAACTCCGGTGTAGTCCACTCTACCCCAGGTTTGAATCAACAGTTGGGTCGATTTAGCACATAAGGGGGATCGTTATTTAGGGGACAAAATGACACGCTTGCCCAAAATACTAGTTCCTTTAAAAAAAAAACAATTATATGTATGTGTAGAGGGGACTATATATATATTATATAAATGACCAGATGCTATTACATAAGCCTACAATCACCTTTAATGCGCCTAACAATTCGAGTATGAGCTCCTTAAGGCCAAGCGCGCCAGAGGAAATTTGAGCCCCCGACTTGAGTAATCTTATATTGTGGATGTCAACCAACAAGCCAGGGTACACCACACACACACACACACACACACACATATATATATATATATATATTATCATAGGAAATTACTAGCCTCCATAAAAGAATGACATGTTTGTAATCTTACTTTTTCCTCATTTTTAATTCCATAACTAGAGGACCCTTGTTATATGTAAAGAAGACCTTCAAACCCCACGTAAAGGGAACTCTCCTTTTTTTTGGGTCACTTGTAACCCTCAAGTTTAGTGGAATAAAAAGGCCAATGAGCGATGAACACTCCTATTTGTCCCTGGACAGAGCAAAATCTCTTCATTCATCTCTCTCTCATTCTCTTTCGCTCGAATTTCACACTCTATACATTGGGCATAGTCTATAGGACAGATCTTGATCCAACACACGCACACATATAAACAGACTTACATACATACAAACATATATAAACATACATATATAATATATAAATATAAATGTAAATATACATATACATACCCTAAAAAAAATAAATATCAATTTTTAGGTGTTAGAAATATAAAGTCAAAAGAATTTGGTGATAGTAGTGTAAATTTACCTATACAAAAGTATATTTAATAAAAATTGAACAAAATTAAAAAGAGAAATTTACAAACAAACCACCCAACCCTTTTGTATTTACATATTTAACCCCTAAATATATATATTTTTTATTTTTAAACCATTCAAAAAAATTATCATTTAAAAAATATCACTATACTAACTTAAAAAAAAAATGAAATATACTTTTTCATACTGACATAAGATGACACATGCAAAAATTAAAAATAGGAGACGGACATGACCATGCATAAGATTTAAGTCAAAAAAAAAAAAAAAAGAGACCATAAGATTTAAGTGTTAAGTAAATCTTCCAATACAAAAAGCACTTTTAACGTCTATTCCCACTACTCATCAATGAACTGTTCTCAATAGCCATCCAATCGTATCCATGTCCATGAATAAGTTAAGAAACTATTCCTACTCTCAACCATATTAAAAATGACGGAAATTAATAAAATATTTATGGAAAGGGCATAACAATGATTTAAAATATCT